GGACTGCTGGGGGATAACCGAAAAGAAATAGTGGAAAAGCTCTAGAGTGGGTGTGACCTTGACACTGTGACAACGACAAATGAAACCAGCTATCGACCGGTAGGAGTTCGGCATTATTTGGGCTGGTACTACATTGTAAAAAAATTTAAAAGGGAGACAAAAAAGGGGTGAAGTGGGAATCTAAGACCGGCCTTGACTGAGTCGAAATGGACCACAACCATCCCTGGGAAGTGGCGCATTGGGTGACGACCCGATTGAAGGCGGAAGTCCACCGAATCAGGAATTAGCATCTGAATTTGGGCCCGATTATGGGCCGTGAGCTTTTGGCGCCTAAACCTAATAAGAGCTAGGTCAAGCTTATGACAGGAAACGCCGCTTGGAGGGCCGGCTTCCATAACCTCCAATTCATCCCCCGATTTGGTGCCATCAGAATAAACATCGGAGGAAGAGGAATCATCGCCGTTAACCTCCGCCGGAATACGGACAACTTGCAGCGTATCATTGGAGTTTTCTTCTGGAATTGCAGTGCCGGAGGTAGAGAGTTCAGATGAATGAAGGGGTGCCATTCTCACCGAACGAGGGAACTAAACAGTAGAAGGAAACTCGAAGGATACCTGAACAGAAGCTACGGATGAAGCTCTAGAGAGAAGGATGAATTATAAGCCGGAGATGCAAAGTTTCGAAACCCAGAATCAAAACCAGAAGAGCCTATTTATACTCTGTCACGCCGATTCAGCTGCCAATCAGAAGAGGACACGTTTTTTGTAATGATGACAGAGACACGTGTCGCACAGAGAATCCTTCTCAAGTAATCATGACGTTTATCGGAGAAGCGAAACGGCAGTTGCAAATAACCGTCAAAACATACCTCGGGAACCGGCGGAATGCCATCCGATACTCACCCGAACAGCATTCGGGCAATAATCTTCTACTTCCTTATGCGCTCACTACCGTTCGAGACATAGGAAGTGGGGGACTAGTGTTGGGATATTGGGTCCAGGCCCAATATCCCTAGGCCCAAATCCGGGAAGAAGCAACAAGCCCAAAGAACTCCCGAACGGCATTCGGGATAAAACTTATACTTGGAACATTCTGGGTAACGATTATGCCAAGGTATCAAGGCCCAAATATCGATCGGCGTTCGGGATACTTCAGGTAGAAATTATCACCTATGGCGGGGTCCCACACACCGAACACCTTGCCCGAACGGGCAGTCAGCAAGTGGAGGCCGCATTTAATGCTGGATCATGACAGCTGCAAGTGGGGGCATGAGTGCTTACATGGCAGAGGTGATAGCCTACCAGATTCGACCACGTGTCCACCTTACCCATCCCCATCTTAGTATAAATATCCATGTTTAGATCATTGTAAAGGGTTAGCATTTTTAAGACTCAGAGCTTAGCAATCGATTTATATCTCCCATCCTTGTAATCTCATATTCATCTACCGTTCGGGTAGTTTCAGTGTAATTGCTTAATTACAGAATATAAGTAAGTTCTTGAGTTGGATATTATTTCACTATTTTATATTTTACACACATTTCAACCCTACCCAATATCCCTACAATATCCAAGGCTTGTGTTGGGCTTTCGGATCTTCGGGAATAAACCTCAACAAAGTGATTTTGAAAAGTAAAAGTGGGTAGTGTTTGGTAAAATAAGTGCTTTTTGTGTAATAGAAAAAGTAAAAGCATTTTTGACGCGGAAGCCGAGAAAAATAAAAGTTGTAGTGCTTGGGAAAATAAGTGCTTTTTTAAAGCCAAAAGCTGAGAAGTGTTTTTTTAAAAGCAGTTTCAAACCAATCCTAAATGTTTTTTTAAAAAAAGTCAAAATCACTTTTCTTAAGTGGTTGCAAAAAAAGCCAAAATCACTTTTCTTAAGTGGTTACAAGAGTTGTGATAATTGTGGTTGTAGCAATGTGTATCTTCATGTGTTTAGTGTGTAGTTACCCTTGTTGGCTGTATTAATGAATAAAGAATTAATTCCACTTTTGGTCCTACGAGTTTTGTGTCAATTCCATATTTAGTCCACGTCTTTCACTTTGTCCACTTTTGGTACTTGACTAATGTTTTTTAACTGTTTGTGGTCCTTTTCTGGCGATTTTAACCACTGGAAACAATGCCGGAAGGACCATATATGGACGAAAACCCAATAGTTGTGGATCAAAAGTGGACAAAGTGAAAGATGTGGACTAAATGTGGAATTGGCCTAAAACTTGTAGGACCAAAAGTGGAATTTATTCAATGAATAAATGATATTGAATATTGAATAAACATATGTTGTTTGTTAAACGATTTGTCCTATGTGTACTTGCGTAACCACATGTTATATTTACGTCTGCTTTTTTGTTTATAAGATGAATGAATTTTCTTTCATTTGAGATTAATGAAGCACATTTGACTTGGTTTTTCTTTTGAGGTGGATGTGATTCTGCACCACTTCATTTGAGCTTCAAGTTTTCTTGTTAGTTCCTTGTTTAAGTCCTTAAATTCAGAGCATTCATATGATTCTACAGAAAATGCTTTAATAGACCCTACTATCTCCAATGCCAACTCTGCAACTCAGAGACTGATCAGGAGGAATGGACACTGATTTATATTGCTCCATATCAGTTATAACTATCTGTCAGTGTTGAACTTTTGATGAACTATCTTTTTTTTCAAGCAAAAAAAGACTAGATGAAACTGAAATATTAAAATAAATAGTTCTGAAATACATCTTTCCTTATCAAGTCAAGTGAGTACTAATTAATTAACCATGAAACTGAAATAATAAAATGAAGAATTCTACAACTACAATACACTGATGTGGGCTGGGGTGTTTGACTGTAAGTACTAATTAATTAACCATCACTGCCTTGTTTTCAGCTTTTCCTAAAAATTCAAATGCCTAACGTGAAAAGTTCCTCTTCAGATTGCAGCACACCAAACTCATCAAAACAGCTCATTATGTAATTCTTCTTATTTTTCTGCCTTTGTGACATCCCGTACAGATTGCTGCCTTTGTAACCCTCTTATTTTTCTTTGAGAGGCGTTGGAACAAACCATGAATCCATAAACCCAAAAGGCCAAGAATACCAACTCCAAGAAAGAAGAAGATAGACAATGACAATTACAATTACAGGGTAGTAGGGTACCACTTTTAAAAAAAGAAGGCAGCGATGTGCAACTGTCTTTCAAAATACAAACTACAATAATTGAGAACTGCAACCTACAATTTCAAAACAAACTCCACCTACAAATTTCAAAAGGTGAACTCATAAATGTCAACAAAGGCATTGCATTACATTACAAGATGTTCAACAAACATCACTTTTTTTCTTCTTTTTTTACTCCCGGGGGTGGGGTCTGGGGGTCTGGAGGGTCTGGAGTAATCATGGCTGAAATTCAGCCCATTGAGTTTCGAAGTTCGAACCCTTATGTGCCTAGCAGGTTTCGAACTCGAGACCTCTCATTAGGCACGGTAACATCACAACCAGCTGGGTTGGAATGTTTGGTTCAACAAACATCACTTAAAACATACATTACATGACAAAAGGGGTCATTAAACCCATGATGAGTACACATCTAAATAAACAAGCATAACGTAAAACATACATTACATGACAAAAGGGGCATTTACACCCATGTTTAGTACACATCACATTACATTACATAACGGGTTTTATCCGTTCACAGAATGCACGTCTATGGTGCAACCAGTCTTCACATTCACTTTGCAACACTTCCCTATTCTGTATAGTCCCCACTTAGAGTACTTGCTCACTTGATAGTCCAGGCTACTAAAAAACAATGAATTACATATAAGCAACTTCATATGCTAAATGAATTGACCTAATTTGATATAATAAATTCATACATCTAAAACAAAATACCAGTGAATCAGTGATGTCAACATTCACAAGAAGTATCAAAAACAAATTTTGAATTCAACTTTAATAGACCTAATTAATTATTCAGGAGAAAACAAAAACTCAGGTGGACCAAAAGTTGATTTGGTCCGCTTCTGGACTGGCCATGTTCAGGTATGGGGGAAACTTGAAGACAAATCAGTTCTAGTTGTTAGAGGAACTGAAATCACAACCGGTGTGACCAGATCGGGTTCTGAACTGTAAAAAATCAACTTGCTTCATTCAGTCCGTTTCTGGAACGAGGTCCACTCCTAACTCAAGATTATATACTCTATCTTATTCGCACTTATAGGTTTGTGTCGTTTAAACTTGTAGATAAGTACTTACTTAAATGAAATACAAATTCAGAGAAATAACTTCAACAAAGGAGACGGCCAAAGCACTGCCAAATCCCTCCAGGTACCCCATCGTCGGCCATGGAAGCTTGAACTTCAAATTAACGTTATCTTTAGAATATAGATTTTTGAACAACACAATCGTGTCCGCAGGTCGCCCGCACATGCAAGTCGCGCCTGTTCGGTTTCAGGATTTGATTCGCACCCCCCTGTGCGCAAAGAGAGCCTTTCCACCTAAGAATCTTAACTCCTAAGAATAGGCTTCCCTTTATAAAGGGTTGCAAATCCCTTGAGTTTTCCAGTGTGGAAAAAAACCACACTAGAAACCCATCTTTTCTTAGTTTTCTCCATTTCAACGAGTGAACTTCGAGAATCAATTTCTCATTCACCCGTAATCCGTTTTGGGCGTACCATATATCCGTTTTACCAAAGACAATCCGAAACCACTTTGACTCGACCCAAATCGGAAGTGGATCTCACTCAAAATATTGCCCCAAAATGACCATTTAACACAATTTATTAACACATTTAATGCCGTTAAAAGCACAGTTATCTTCAAGAATTCATTTGAATGTCTTCCTGATTGAATTTTTAGCTAAAATTTGGTATGAGTAAACTTGACTTAATGAATAAGATGCTCAAAAAAATTGTCAAAAAAATCCACCGGGAGCCACCTCAAATGGCACGTCCGGACAAAATCTTCTATATAAAGACTTATTTGACCCCTTTTTTGCAACTTCGAGGACTAAATTGACCCTTTACTCTTTATATATCTTTATAACTCAAAATTAACGTCTATTTCAGAAAGCTGTGCGTGCAAATGGCAACGTACCAAACCTTGAGATAACATGGTATTTTCATTCCAAAAATAAAATACAAAGGAAGATGCAGCCACGAAGAATGCTTCAACCAGCAATGAGTCACCATGTGCCAGATTTTAAAATGCACCATGTTTCACCTAAGATCTCACTTAAACTAAGCTACTCAGTTTCTAAATTAACAAAATCTAATCCAGTGGAGTGAACATCACGTCGAGTTATTCCGCCCTCCGTCGAGATGAAATCTGAACATCAATTGAATTTCAAATTTCATCTAGACGGTTGGAAGAGCAACTCCACGTGAAGCTAATTTCACCGGAGTCCATAAGAAGAAGCAAACGAGAATCATATGACATTTGCATCTTTGAGAGCACATAACATGGAATACGCGGCTGAGTTCTCTGCATCTCTGATCCGCAACTTTTTGTTTCCGAGAGCAAAGAGCACCCGAGACCTCTTATTACCAACCGTAATAGCTAAGCCATCACTGCTACCTACTTCAACTGAGCAGACAAAGTTCTTGTCGTGTGATGGGCCTATCTCCTTCTCAACACTACAAACATGAGGACAAAGATTAGCCAGGAATTCACAACAGTTTGTTACAAATGTGGGGAACTGTTCACTAACAGCAGAAGTCAACTCCTGGCTCTTGTTTATCTAGGAAACTAGAGAACAGAAAAATAAATTTTGTCTCTCCAAAAAAAATTTGTTTTTTTTGTGTTCCAAATTTAGGAAACATAAAAAACATTTTTACTTCACGAAATGTTTTAGAATATATAAAAGTTATACGATAATTAGAAAAACACTTTAACTTCAGGGAAACTGTTAACTACAGAACATATGTGACATTTGAAATATGTCTTGGTAACAAAAATTGAAAAACCACACGAGAGAATAGAAAAAGATGACAGAAGTGGGCCAGCAACTTTGCTGAAGTTGACAGCTTCATCTAACAAGTGCATACTTTGGTGCCAAATGTCAAGGCAATAAGTCAAGGTAATGAAGCTCATTTAAGAAATCTAGGAATGATGCGAAGTGGTAATAAAGCTTGTTAAAGAAAAGAAGTCAAGGTAATGCCACCTAAAAGTGGTGTCTGACATCTAAATTTTAGAGCATAATTCTCCCCAATGCAGTTTTTAAAAAATTACACGGAAAAAGGTTAAACCAAGAAATGAAACCGGTAATGCTAAATGTGAAAAGCCTTCCAACCAAGAACCTATACTATGTTATCCATTAACATGGGAAATCAGAACTTTTAAAGTCAAATGAATTAAAAACTACTCTGGGAAATAAGTCTGTACCTGTAAGTAGGTTTCGACCATTTTTTTTTCCCACAAAGTTCATACAACTTTTGCTTTGCTCCATCATTGCCCTTCGTCTCATCGAACTCAAAGTTAATTTTTTCCACTTTATAAGCCAGCTTCTGTAGTGCAGCCTTTGCGGCATGAAGCCTCGCATTTTCCTTTTGCTCTGAAGATGAAGAGACTAGGTGTTCTCCATCGATGTAGATGCTTGCAATATTGTTCTGTCCAATCTTCTTGTGTCTTATATCAAGACATTTTCCAACTTTTTGGCAATGCTCAAATAGCATTGTCACAGGCTGAGGTTGGTTTTGCAGCACATCAGGGGTGATTATTGGCTCCAATAAGCCTCTAAAGACCTAGCACCAAAAAAAATGGAAACCATATACAATGGATAAACTAATACAGAAGGGGCTTTCGTTTATGCAGTTATTTCTGGATCAAGAACCAAGACAAGTCAAATCAACCAAACTCATCCTCTGTATTTTCAAAAAGAGATACTTAAGTAGTTCTAAAAAAGAATACAATAGGGTCGCAGAGAAGCATTTATTTCTAACATGCTTTATAAGCAGAGGGGCTTGTAGCGCCTGTTGCAAAAATCATATCGTAACGTAGCTTTAAGTTATTCTTCATTTGCCCACTTTCTGTTACTTCTAAAGTTCATTCATCATAAGCTCAGCATCATAGTCATCGCATGAGACAACACAGACATGTGACAGAAAGAATTTGTGCATTATTTGTCACACACCCACACTTACCAAATGTGTATTAGATGGGGGCTGAAAGAATAAACAGAGAAGATGCCTAAGAAAGAGGAATTAGGCACTTAGGCTATAAAACAATTGTGACTAACTGCTTAATGTGAGTGAGCAAGATTCCAAGAAACGACAATCGAAGCTAAAAAAATGCAAGAGAATGACATTATTACATCAGCTAAATTGTGTTTTCACATCAAATCAAGATTATTAAGCATTTTACTGCAAAGAGCATGGCAATATCTCCAGTTTGTGTTGAGAAGCAAGCTCTTCAAAAATATGAAGACAGAGAACAAATTCAAAATTGCTCTATGTCAACCAATGAGTTTCATTCATAACTAATCACAACACTGCTTATAGACTTCCACAACCTTCCATATTTCCATGTTTAGAGTGTCTGAGTAATGAAAGCACCCCTTGAGGATATTTTTAGCCAAATTAGACTAGCAATGAAAATATGGCCATTATGCAGCAATTAGCAGACACTGTACTGCCTAATAGATTAGTCCTATAATTGAATAGATACAGACCTTCCAAAACTCCTTCAAATCGAACCCAACGTCAACATATACAGCAGCTGCTATAGACTCAACGATGTCTGCGAGAATTTTCGGTGCTTTGATTGCTCCGCCATAGAATTCGGTCTCGTCTTCTTCTTGGACCACTAGCACAAACTCCTTCACCTAATACAACACAAATCCAGCCAAATTTAAATCAAACAAAATCAATTCTTTGAAACTAAGTCATCCATTCCCAGCCTTCTAAGGCAGGTACATCAAATTCTACCAGCATTGGAATGAATAAAAATTGAATTAATGACCACTGTAGAATTCAAAAGTATACCTTTTCTTCAAGAGAAGGGGCATTGTGGCGGACATATCTGTAGAGGCTGTGACGGACAGCTACCCTAGCGAGCTTCTCGGTGCTGACATTGGCTGACCTAAGAAGAGAGAGTTGGCCGGGGTCAAGCTCGGGATAGGACAAGTAGACGAAGTTGGAGATGGCCAGCCCTAAAGCCATGTCACCCAGGAATTCCAGACGCTGGTAAGAGGAGGAGTCTGTGAAAGAAGAGTGGGTAAGAGCTTCCTCCAGAAGCTTCCTGTTGTTGAAACGGTACAGCAAAAGGTGCTCCAGAGCGTTAAGACCATCTCCAACAGTTAACACCATTTTTACACTAAAATGATGTAAACATCACATCAAACAGTATTTTATCTCCAACAGTTTACACCATTTTCATCACCAAAAAGGAATATTCTCTTTTTATTCTTTTTACTAACTTTTTACCATTCTTCTATTTAAGTATCTAACTATCATATATTTATACATTAGCCCCTCATTTAATTATTTTGACATTTCTAAATTAGTATGTACCATGTATGTTTTTAATTATGTTTTAATTTTAGTTATAATGGTGTTATTAAGTGTAATTTTAATTATGCTATTTCCTTAAGTACCATTTGTATTCTGTTATAATGTTGTTTGGATTTGAAACTTTATTTATAATAGTGGGTGATTTAAATTTTATTATATTTTTTTCTATCAAATTAATAATTTTAATTTGTTGTTCTATAAGGATGTTTTTACTTGGACTGTAATTTGTCTCGGGATCAGATCAGACTTGATTAGACCACACTTGGGTGGTTATAAAAATACAAAGAAATCAGACCAGATCAAATCAGACCAGACCAGAGCGGACAAACCAATTTCAGTCCAAGTAAAACATCCTAATTTGTTGTTTTAAAAATGGGTGAAAACTTTAATAATTAAAACTTGAAGGTCACATTTAAAAGGAAAAAAATTAAAAAGGGTGGATAGTGTTAGATATGGCGTACGCCATATATGGCGTAAAGCCATCTCCTCTCCCCCAAAATGGTGTAATGGTGTGGAGAATGGTGTCATTGTTGGAGCAAGTTTTTGGCAAATACACCATTTTGGTGTGTGATTTGGTGGTCTGTTGGAGATGGCCTAATAGAAGCCGCCATGTCGGAGATGGGCTGCGACAGAGCCGATAAACGCGCAAACGGATTCATAATCCGTAACCCTGTTCGGAGCGTTATATAAAAAAGCTATGAAACTGTTATGGAATGTACAATGCAATGAGGCGAAGATGTTGCGATTAATATGCAGTGTTATACCATAGTCTAAGAAGTGTTTGGTTCATACCTTCTGAAACAGGAATTCACGAGGATGACCGGAGGTTCGAGTTAGTACACCTTGTTGCTGCCGTTATTACGGAGCTGCGGCAGAGAATCAGAGATATCGGCCAACCTCAAACGCACGCGCAGATTATATACTGTAGTAATTGGCAACCTAGTAATTAATTAATACGGTGTACTAGTGTACTACGTAATTAATTTCTAATCCCACTATTCTTGTATTTTGTTTCTATATATACACGTACTTATTTCCGTTTTAAATTCCTTCTTTTATTTTTGGAAATACACTATCATCAATTTTGAATTAATGGAGAACAAAAATATCTAAATTTGTTTGAAATAATTATTATGACTAAAATGAACACTACTTACAAAAATATGATTAATGATTAAAGTAATAAAGAAATTATAGTAACTTATGTTGAATTTTTAAACTTAATTTACTATGGGAAAAATAACAGAGCGTAAAAAGGTCGATGGGTTCTTCTCCATGGATTACATTGGCTTGATTGGGCATTTCTTCTTGGTCAATCCTGCTCTAAATTCTTTCCTTTCTATTCGTTTGAATCGGGAAAGATGTTTTAAGACCAGAAAATCAAGAAATCCGACTTAAATCGCAGATTTACTGCTTGACGTTTATTTCGATTTCTAAAGGTGTTTTGAGATCATAATCTCACAACCGCGGTCTCTCCCTGGCAGGTCTAAGGTTTGGTTCTTCCTTAGCAGATCTAAGGTTTGGTTTCTCCGGCCGGTGAATCACTTTGACCAGTGTCCGATGCTGGGATTGGATTTGAGGTAGATTGACAAGAATCCTTGCCCAAGCTTGACGACATCAAAGCCAGAGTTCGGCGATCAATTTTTTCGTGAGGCAGTGGATTTGCTACGAGCACGGGACGAGGAGAGTTGCACGAATTTCGAGCACGCCAGATGATGATTGACAATGAGGGATCAATTAGAGTGGTACCAAGGATATGACCTCCTCATGAACCACCACCATGGGTTGTACGAGATGCTAGAGGCCGTGAAAGTTTTCCAATAAGTTTTCATTATTGGGTCATTTGGTTTCTTGTTATCGTCTATATTGTTAGGTTTGTCAGTTTGTTTGGGAATTTAGTCTTGTTTAATGTCATTAAGCATGTTTGGATCTATGGGAATATGGATGGCTGTGTCAAGCCCGTTACATGGTTAGCGATTCGTGTTGCTCTTTCAGGGGTGACCGTTTCTAAGGCTCATCATAGGATTTACAGTCGTAGTTGTTGGAGTCTAGTTGGTGTCAGATTTGTTTTTCCTTTGATTGATGTAATGATCCTGAAACTTATGATATGAATAGAGGCTAATTTTCGTTTTAAAAAATATTTCCTTTTCTTTACTTTACTTTTCCCATTTTTTTTCTTTTTCATCAAACACAAAAAATGTAATTAGAATTTTACTTTTCTTTATCTTCAAATTAAACTACAACTCAATCTATTTTTTGTTCTTTATCAATTCATAATAAAAAAAAAGTATTAATCTAAGTAAAATAAGTATATTACATTTTACATTCATACGCTACTTTTATTCTTGTAATATTTTTTTGTATTATAAACTTTTTTGTAATGTTTTTTTGTATTATATACTTTTTTGTAATATAACCTAAATAAAACAAGTACATTACATTTCACATTCATACACTCTTTTTATTTCTATAATATTGTTTTTTGTATTACACACTTTTTTTGTAATGCTTTTTGTCATATTCATACACTTTATCTCTTTTATATGTTTTTAGTGTTTTTAAGATATTAAATTTGATTATTTCAATTTACATTAAATAAAATATGAGATTACATCTTCACATGAGTGGTTTACATTTCCACACGTGTGAGTTATGTTTAATTCTCAAGTTCTATTTGATAGTATATGGAGTTGCCTCTTCTAGTGTGCGAGTTACCTCTTTTTACACTTGAGTTACATCTTAATATGCGGGAGCTGCATTTGGACTTGCTTCAACAAGTTACATTTTGCATACACTTAAGTTAGATTTTCCATCAAAGCGATTTACATTTTTCATAACAAGATTTACATCCCAAATTCAACTCCCCCTATTGAAACAAAATAATTCCATGCAAAAAAATGTTTTTTTTTCAAAGAAAAATAATTTTTTTCATTACAAAACACATTCACTATTTACGTTAAGTAATTGAGCAATTGGACTCCTTGTTTTCATTGTTTACAATTAAATCAATGTTTTATTTATTATACTCCTTAGAGAAGTTACATTTCAATTTGCATGCAGTTAATTTTTTTATCAATGTGAGTTATATTATTTTACACGAGAGTTACATCACCCTTCTATTGGGACAAAAAAAACATTGTTGATGCGTGTTACAATTCACGAGTGTTTTGGCTATAACTGCATCATACTCACCATGAACTGCTCCGACGATATGACAATTGAAGAGCACGGTGTATTTTTTTATTCATAAAAAAGATGTATGAATGATTTTTAAAATATTACCTCTCTCTTATACATTGTCGACTTTGAAAGGAAACGTATAGTAAACAAATGTATGATTAAGAATTCTAAAACATACAAAGAAAAATTGAACAAAAAATTCATTATTTTAAAAAAGAGAGTAATAAAGTTTTTAGGACAAAAAGAAAAAGGAAAGATGGGCAAAATTCAATAGAATATGGAATAGTTCATTCTGAAATAGTTTTTAAATATTTTTTAAAAAAGAACCTTAGCAATTCAGAGTTTGAAAGATATAATCACTATCAATAAAGGATCTGAAAGATAAATGTGTTGATGTAGTGCCCGAATGATTGAAAACAATCAATCAAGCAAAATTACATTTGCACATAAAATTTGTACACTTTTTTGTAAGCATCCAAAAGTTACTTGTGTACACAATCTGTCATTATAAAAATCAACAGTTGTAGTTCCAAAAGTTACTAAAGGCGTAAAATATCATAAAGTTTGATGTACTTAATTTTTTTTATCCATTGCTCTTTTTTGATGATTTCTTCCTCACAACAGTTTATTACGGAGTAGTTCAAAAAGATTATATAATACTCCATTTCTAAAATTTCCAAAATAAAAAATAATAAATTCCTGATATTTTATATTTTAAATTAATAGTTTTCGATCATTTTATCTTTCAGGTTATTAATGATTAATAAAATTCTTTTCTAAAATTTTCCCATCCATTCACTTTAAGGCTTAACATGTTTTGGAGAGTATTTCGTTATATAAAATTCCATACTTGTCCATATTACACCTTACATCATATTTCAAAAAAAAAAATTGCGTACACTGCACCAAGTAAGAATTTGTGAGTGAATAAAATGCAAACTGCAAAGTCAAACTGTCAAACAACTTTATACTCCGTAGTAATATGGGATGCACATATTGGGCCTGTTTGGCAATCAACGGTTAGCGATTAGCTGAATAGTTTCATTCAGAGAGGCGATCGATAGTTTTGTTCAGAGGCTAGGGTCTGCGAATATGAAAAAGAAGAACGTGGAAGGGTAAACTTGACGATTAATTAATTATTTGGATCCGCTAACTATAAACGCTCCGCTTCCCAGCGTTTTGGTCTTCGACTTTTCGGCGGTTTCATCCAAAACGCTATGGGCAGCCTCCGTTTACCAAATGCAAAACAATCAGCGGTTTTGCTAGCCCAACACGCTGAAATAGTCAACCCTCCGTTTTTTGGCGGATCTGCTGATAAACAAATGGAGCCATTAACTTTGAGGAAATGAAGTGTAATGTTCAATATCATCCCAAACATGAGGTGCAAAGTCAAATTTTTTCGACTCTTTATTTTAATATGCTGATGTAATTATTGTTATATCCGAAAAATATTGTCAATTATAGCATTATACAATCCTATTATCTGGCAACCAAATAATGTTAAAATATAGCAATATAATTTTTGGATGATAATAATTTATTCTTGTTTAGGAAAAACAGTAAGAGTGGGCATAAAAACCCAACTCTTCCTACGTAAAAACCGAAATCTTCCTACCTGACCCGTAATGGTACGAGCCGAATATTAGGTACTGAAGCGGTTCTATAGACTTTTTATCTTAAACAAAAACTGTACGGTTTAAAACTAATACATGTCTGGTTCTAGATTTTGAAAAGTACATGTCTCGTTCTAGATTTTGAAAATCGAAAAATATTGAACCGAATTGTTCATAAATAATACTCTCTCCGTCCCATGGACTTTGCTAACTTTCCCTTTTTTATTGTCCCAAAAATTTTATCACTTTCTTATTAAAGCAACTAATTTGTGGTTCTGCGCATTTCTTATTTCTCACCTACTTTGCATTTGACTCTTAAATTTTTCTCATATCAATAAATCACTTGTTCAAACTAATAGTTTTAACCCATGTATACATTCAATCATCCCAAAATAACTAATTCTGTATGTTGATACAAATTCTGTTATCCAATATCCAATAATGACAAATTAGTGCCGTATCCGTTCCTTGGACCGGATGTTTTAAGACAAATTATGCCGTATCCGTTCCTTATAGAATATATTCCCTTCGCCCCAATTTATTTTGCAAAATTTCCTATTTTGGGTATCCCAAAATGATTTTCCCCTTTCTATTTTAGGTATGTAAATAAGAGTAAAGTGACAAAATTTACCCTTACTTTTACTTTTTTCTCATCAACTTAAACTCTTAAAGACATCTACTTTTAGGATGAAGGACAAAAATGTAAAAAACAAGCATCATTTATTATCATTCCTTAATCCTTGTGCCGGTCAAAGTTTGCAATTCATTTTAGGACGGAGGGAGTAGATATAGAGTTAGGATGTTTTTACTTAGACTGTAATTTCCTAATCTGGTCTGAACTGGTCTGGTAGTGTCTAAACTCTTTGTATTTTCATAACTATTCAAATCTGGTTTAATCTGGGACAGATTACACTCCAAGTAAAAACATCATTATTATGGACTTATGGTGTATATGACTATTTGTTGTATCATATTATAAAGCCTAGAACTAATGTGGTTGTTGTGTGATGATATTCATTTTATGTATTCACGTGATTACGTGAAATTATCTAGGTGGTCTGGTTCCATATTTTTTATACTTCTCTAACTTCTAAGTGGTCTGGTTCCATATTTTTCAAAAAGCTGAAACAAAAACCTTATCAAGTGAA